TTAACGGGAGAACTACCCAGGCACGTGCAGAAAAAGCGCCGCCTTCCGCATCCGAGCTGGTTACCCCGACGCCCTGTAACGCTTCGGCAAGACGCGCTGCAGGTGAAGGCCGACCGACCCGGCAGCGAGGCCGGGGCAGCGGAGCCGGGAGGGAACGGGGCCCAGACCCCGCTCCTGAGGTCTCCTGCCCCGGCGGGGGCCGACCGGGATCCGGGCCCCCATTTGGGGGCTGACGTCACGCCCTGATGCCCCCTTTCGTAGGTGCTGGTGGATGGGGCGTGGATGGGGGAAGGGAAGGCTTTCCATCTCTGGAGATGCCTTGGTCTTCGGGTGCTGGGGATGCAGTTTTCCTGGGAGGTTCTTTTCCCGGGAGCGAGGATTCAGCTTCTCTGGATACCGGTTTCACGGGGTCGGCCCTTGTTTCTTTGGGTTCCTATGGGGAGACCCGACCATTGGAAGAAGGGATTCAGGTCTCCACCGCGTTCTTATTGTCTGCGGGGTTCCCAGAGAGATCCAGTTCCTTGTGTGGGGGGTGATCTCCGTTCTTTTCTCTCCCCCCCCCTTAGATTCTTGGTATATCACGGGGAGCCCCACGGGGGGGAACAGGTACAGGGTGCATAGTAGTCCCCATCCCTGGGGTCCTTTTAGAGAGGAAGCTCATTTCTGGAGTGATTCAGGTGTTCTAGGGGAGCGTTCCGGTTATATGGGAGGGGCTGTTCATTGGAGAATGGGTTTCAGATTCCCTGGGCATCTCCTTTCGCTTGAGGGGGCTGTCAAGTTCGGGGGGCGGGGGGAAGGGAGGGTAGTTCTCATTTTATGAGACCCATTTCCTGGAGGAAGGTTTATATTTCCTGGTGATTTCCCACGTCTGGGGGTGGTGGTCCTCTGGTTCCTTGTGGAGGGTCTTAAGTTCTTTGAAAGTTTGCATGGGAGCTGTTCCTGGGGTGGGTGTTTTCCCTTAGTTTCTTGGGGGTCCCCGTTCCTAGGAGACCTTGTCCTCTGAGGTCTCAAACAGCTGCCTGGGGGTTTGCGTTCCCCGGGCTTTTTCCATTCTCCAGAGGACCTCTTCTCTGGTGTTCCCTATTTCTGAATGACCCCTCTCTCCAAGTGATGCCTTTTCCTGGAACCCCTCTTTTGAGAACCCCCCTGAACTCTGCCCCTGCACAGGTCATGATGTTTGGCAGCCCCACCATCGCCCTGGAGCTCCTGAAACAAGGCGCCAGCCCCAATGTCCAGGACACCTCCGGCACCACTCCGGCCCACGATGCAGCCCGCACTGGATTCCTCGACACGCTGAAGGTGTTGGTGGAGCATGGTGCTGATGTGAACGCCCCTGACAACACGGGGTCGCTCCCCATCCACCTGGCGGTGCAGGAGGGCCACACGGCTGTGGTCAGCTTCCTGGCTGCCGAGTCTGATCTCCATCACAGGGACACCAGGGGGCTCACACCTCTGGAGCTGGCGCAAGGGAGAGGGGCTCAGGACCTCATGGACATACTGCAGGGGCACATGGTGGCACCACTGTGACCCAGGACCACCCACTGCAGCCACAGGACCCAGCCGGGTTCTCTCTCCGAAAGGAGGAAAGAAACACTTTCTCTTTTTGCTCCTCCAGTCCCGCTGCCAAGGGTGGGGGAGCACCAGTTTGTGGCTTGTTGGTATTGATTTCTGGAGTGTGTGTGCTCAAGGGACATTTCTCATTTGTTTTTCCCTTTTGTGTGTTTGGTGAGAAGGGCTCCTGTAGGCAACAGCCACCTAAACGGTTCAGTTTCCTCCACTCCCCAGACTGCTGGGGCGACAGAGTCCCAAGGGCAGAGCGTTTAAAGCCTCAGCCCCAGAGTGAGGTCATGGCTTCCAGGGCTCCTGGAACCTGGCGACTTGGCTGACTGTACAGAGAGCGATCTCAAGTGTGCACTCTGCTTTTGAGCATGGGGGGCGGGGGGAGTTCCAAATGATAAGAGGGTGGGATGAGTTCATTCATATCTTGTTGGAAACTTGTTTTCCTGTCTCTTGTACAGCTTTAAAAAAAGATTCTATTTATTAAGCTTTATGGACAAAAGTTGTGTGATAACTTAATGTTTTTACCCATTAAATTAATTCTTGTGCTTGATCACAGTGGTGGTGGCTTCTGATTTTTTAATCTGCGATGGATAGTCACGTGGGGGTGTTCGTGGGGGTGGGCACGGGGGTCGCGGGTCACGGATGCTTCGGGGAGTGGAGAGAGTGGTCATTCCCAGGGCGCCAGGGGTGCGAGAGCTGGGTGGGGCGGCGGTTTGCGCTGTCGGAGCGGAAGCGAGGCAGGAAACCGCGAGTGGAGAAAGGGCCCCCAGATGTCAGCTGGGTGCGGGCAGCCCCCGGGGTGGGGTGGGCGGTGGCGGCAGCCTTCCCCGCAGAGGCGTGCCCGTGGGTGGGGACTGAGGTCACGCGGCGTCAGAGATTCCGGAAAGGCCGGAGGCGGGGTT